CCCCAAAGTGTATGTCCAGCTTACCCCTCTGCCGTCCACAGCCCTAAATCTGCCACCATTCCGTGCTGCGGGGACACCATGGCTCCAGAAGAGGACGCTGGAGGAGAAGCCTTAGGGGGCAGTTTCTGGGAGGTGAGCAGCGGGGTCCTGGCTTTGGGAGTGGCACTAAATTGCCCAGCCCTCTCCCGGCTCAGCTACCTGTGCAGGTGAGGAGCCTAGCTGAGGGCCCCAGCTCCATAGGGGGCTGCACCCTGGTGACGCTGCTCTCCTCGTGTACGCCCCAGGCTGGCAACTACAGGAGGACGGTGCAGCGGGTGGAGGACGGGCACAGGCTGTGCGGGGACCTGGTCAGCTGCTTCCAGGAGCGTGCCCGCATCGAGAAGGCCTACGCCCAGCAGCTGGCCGACTGGGCCCGCAAGTGGAGGGGCACCGTGGAGAAGGGTGAGGTGGCGCTCGGGCCTGGCAGTGAGCAGGGTGCTGCCAGGGGTAGGACCATCGGGGCGGCTTCTTTTTGTACATCTTGTTGTACTAAAAGTTTGAGGCTTTCACCTCCTTAAAGAGGGATGGTCCTCCTAGTTATCCTCGGAGTTGTGGTGTTAGAGTTTACAAAGTACATTCGTGAGTCACTTTGATATTTTTAACAACCGTGTGATGGAGATGGTCCTGTTCTACCCATTTCCTAGAGGAGAAACTGGAAGTTCAGAGAGACTCAAGGACTTGCCTGAAGTCACACAGCTAGGAAGCCTGGGCCTTCTGACTGGGAGTGTGGGATCTTTCCACCCAACAACCTGTCTTCCTAGAGGGCAGACACTGGTTCTCTCCTTGGGGCAACAGACAGTAGCAGTTGTGCAACAGATTTGGGTTTGAATCTCGGTTCCACCTGTAGCTATAATGCTTTAGCAAGTTAACGTCACTTTTCTGGGCCTCAGTTTTTTTGCCTGTTCAATGTTGACAATGACACTGTCCTTGGTGGTGGTGGTTGAGGCAAGGACTCAGATATGACAAGGCACAGAGTAGGCATTCAGTAAGCCCCAGCTGACAACACTGTCATTCATCTGTGCACTGACTCCCATGCCTCTGTGCCTGGCATCCAGAGCAGCACCCAACAAGGGGACAGGCTTGATTTAGGTGGTGCCCAGGCCTGGCCCAAGCCCCACACCTCCCTGCAGGCCCGCAGTACGGCACACTGGAGAAGGCCTGGCACGCCTTCTTTACGGCGGCCGAGCGGCTCAGTGCACTGCATTTGGAGGTGCGGGAGAAGCTGCAGGGGCAGGACAGTGAGCGGGTGCGCGCCTGGCAGCGGGGGGCCTTCCACCGGCCTGTGCTGGGCGGCTTCCGTGAGAGCCGGGCTGCCGAGGACGGCTTCCGCAAGGCCCAGAAGCCCTGGCTGAAGAGGCTGAAGGAGGTGAGCCTGAGTGGATGGGTGGCAGAGGCAGGCCCCTTCCAAGGGGACCAGGGCCTGGTGTCCAGGGCCTAGAGTTGTCCCCATGCATGCCAGGTCGAGGCCTCCAAGAAGAGCTACCACGCAGCCCGGAAGGACGAGAAGACAGCCCAGACACGGGAGAGCCACGCGAAGGCAGATAGTGCCATCTCCCAGGAGCAGCTGCGCAAGCTGCAGGAGCGGGTGGAACGCTGTGCCAAGGAGGCCGAGAAGGTACAGGCCGGAAGGCCCAGCCCACCCTGGCCCCAGACAAGGCTTCCCCAATGAATCTTGCTCCCTGAAAGCCTTCTCCCACCCGCAGCACTCTTATTGCCCTAATCCTTACCTGCCACCCTCTCTCCAGATGATCACTAAAGGAGGAACCTGAGAAAAGGTGATGCTTTACCAAGGGAAGGAAATGTTGGAATTTCAGGCACTGGGATGACTTTAGCAGTTGAGAACCCCCAGCTCCATTTCTTGTACAGCGCACCACATTGCCTGCTCGCCCAAGTGCCCTTTCCTCCAGCTCCGCTTGTGCAAATCCTCCCCATCCTCTGAGATGCTGCTCAGTTGCTGCCACCTCCAGGAAGCCTTTTCTGATTTCTCCCACCCTTTCATATAGGTTGACTTCATCTCAGTCTCCACCAGACTCTGACGTTTGCTGTGCCAGAATGTCACCTCCCTTGTTAGGCTGCTGGGGTCCTTGAGGGCAGGGGCTGGGTGTCAGGACTGATGGCCCTTGCTGGCTAGCCCAGGGTCTAGATTGTGGCAGTGCCTGGTAAATACTGGTGGAGTCCTGCATGGATAAAGGTCTTGTCCTCACCAGACCCCATCCCCTCCCATCTAGACGAAAACCCAGTATGAGCAGACACTGGCAGAGCTGCATCGCTACACCCCACGCTACATGGAGGACATGGAGCAAGCCTTCGAGACCTGCCAGGCCGCCGAGCGCCAGCGGCTTCTTTTCTTCAAGGATATGCTGCTCACCTTACACCAGCACCTTGACCTGTCCAGCAGTGAGAAGTATGGCCTGCGGGGTGGGTGTGGAGATCTGGGGTAATGCTGGCTCCCCTCCCGCTCCTCTGGGTTCTGGCTGGGCTGGTTGGGATTGCTGGGTCTAGGGGCCCAGGACTTCTCAGTCTGAGGCTGCGCCTCGGGTCACAGGTTCCATGAACTCCATCGAGACCTGCACCAGGGCATCGAGGCAGCCAGTGACGAAGAGGATCTGCGCTGGTGGCGCAGCACTCATGGGCCGGGCATGGCCATGAATTGGCCACAGTTTGAGGCACGTGTTCCAGGCTGGGTGGGGCTGGGAGGTGGGTCACACTCCTACTGCACTCAGCCTCAGCCGCTGGAGGGAGGCCAGGGGTTGGGATGAAGTCACTGAAGGTGGTCTGGATGGCCCTGGCTGCCACCGCAGCTGCAGCCCACACCTTGACCCTAAGCACTGTCCCTACAGGAGTGGTCCTTGGACACACACAGGACAATCAGCCGGAAAGAGAAGGGTGGCCGGAGCCCTGATGAGGTTACTCTGACCAGCATTGTGCCCACAAGAGATGGCACTGCACCCCCACCCCAGTCCCCGGGGTCCCCAGGGTGAGAGCCAGGAGCCTCCTGTGGAAAAGAAACAGCTCTGCCCTCCTTCCCTATCCTTCCCTTTCTCTTGTTTCATTCCCTTCACTCTTGAAGTGGGTTGAAAATTGGTGCCAGGGACCTGAGGGTTGTAATGATACCAGTCTTCATACTGGTTTAGATTGGCCACGCATTTCCCACATTCCCTCCACTTTCACCTCACATCGACTCTGTGGGGCAGGAATTGCGCTCGAGTTTGTGAGTGGCAGAGGTGGAACTAGATTCTTTCAGCTCCTCCCCACCTGCCTTTCCCAGGGTTCCTCTGGGGAGTGGAGTGGGTAAGCCCTTTGCCCTGAGTCCTGGGTGAGACCTCTAGCCCAAGGTGTTCCTTGTGCCCTGAGCTCCTCCTTTCTGCCTCCCCTCTACAGCAGGGGGCAGGATGAAGAGTGGTCAGATGAGGAGAGTCCCCGAAAGGCTGCCACTGGAGTCCGGGTCCGGGCGCTCTATGACTACGCTGGCCAGGAAGCTGATGAGCTGAGCTTCCGAGCAGGTACCCTGGAGCCCCTTCCTGCTCCTTTCCAGGCCTCGGTCTCTCCCTTCCTTACGTGACTGAGCAGGGGGTGTGGAAAGAGAAGCCAGATACCCTCCTGTCAAGGGCCAGTTCTCTGGCCATTCAGCCTGCTCTGGGTCCAGCTGGCTGGGGCCTGGTTGGTGTGTTTGAGGTCTCGGGTGGTGCAGCTTGCTGACTTCAGCCTCCCTCTGCCTGAGCCATGTCCCTTCTCCTCACTGGGCTCTTGGACTACGCCATCCCCCTCAGTCCTTGACCCAGTTGCAGGAAAGGGGGCTGGGCCAGGGCAATTGGCAGTGATCAGTCCCTCTTCCCCCAGGGGAGGAGCTGCTGAAGATGAGCGAGGAGGATGAGCAGGGATGGTGCCAGGGCCAGTTGCAGAGTGGCCGCATTGGCCTGTACCCTGCCAATTACGTGGAGTGTGTGGGTGCCTGAGTGCCCGGACAGCCCTTCCACAACATTTCTCCACCCTGGATCAGAGCCCAGCTTCTCCTGGACAGCCAGACCTGAGGGCCCTGAACCACTGTGGCCCTGCTGCCCATCTGTCCCCTGAGGAGGGTGGAAGTCCTGGGACCCAGGGAGGGGAGGAGCCTGTGTCTAGAAAGCCACTGGTAGGGAAGGTCCAACTGAGTCCAGGCAGAGGGCAAGATGGAGGTCGGAGGTGACAGGAGGGTTCGGGGTTGCCTGGGCCTCCCCAGGAGCACTTAGGTCTTCCAGGAGCTGTGGATTCAGTTCCTGGCCTCCGTTTTGGGGTCCTGGGATGGGCTTGGGGTGAGTGTAGTTCTGGGCTAGCTGCACCCTCTTTTGTGGCTTGTTCTAGTGTGTATTAAACTTGACAAAACACATTGTTGGGCTTGCGTGCATCTTTTTGATACTCCATCCTTGCTAGTCCTCCAGAGGGCATCTGCAGAGAGGCCTAGTGGCTGTTGTAGGGCCAGGGTTGGGCAAGGGTTTGCCAGCTTGGTACCTGCTCTGGAACTTCGGGACCCTAACCTGGGGTGGAAGGGACTTGATGTGAGCCAAGCACGATGGCTCGTGGCTAATGCTGGGTTGTAGGCTAGACGGGAGGCCGGTGGGACAAGGAGTGTTCAGACCGACTGTTAATCATTACTCACCGATCATCGGTAACTGGCTGGGGAGAGCTAGGATCTCTGGCAGCCCGCGCCGCGTGGGAGGCGGCTCCACCTTCTGGGCGTACCGGGCGTCAGAGCAGTGCTCGCTCGCGAGGAGGTTTGGGCCGACCCGCGAGCCGTCGCTCCGCCCCCGCTCCAGATTGGCCCGGCTCGGCGCGGCGTTTTTTCTCGCGGCTGCTGGGGAGCCGGGGTTACTGACGTCACCGCTCCCGTTCCGCTGGCTGCCCATTGGTCCAGGTCGGGCCCAAACACCCCACCCCTCAGCTGGCCGGGATCCTGCGGAGGCCGGCGGGGTTAGCCCGCCCTCCCAGCCGTGGATTGGCCCGCGGCAGGACCCGTCGGTCGCAGTTGTGTCTGGGAAGGAGAGAAAATGGCGGCGGAGCCGAGCAAGACCGAAATCCAGACTCTTTTTAAGAGGCTTCGGGCAATTCCAACCAACAAGGTACATGAGCATGGGGCGCGCGGACCCTGGCGCCGGCCGAGATTGAATCTCTAGCTCCCCCGGGCCTGAGGGAGGGAGAAGGGCGGAGGTGGGTCGTTTCCCCGGGGTGTCAGCGCCCGGCCTCTATTCAGGGCCCGTGACCATTCGCTCGTCGCCTCCTTCACCCAGGCCTGTTTCGACTGCGGCGCCAAGAATCCGAGTTGGGCCAGCATCACGTATGGTGTTTTCTTGTGCATTGACTGCTCTGGGGTGCACCGCTCCCTGGGCGTCCATCTCAGCTTCATCAGGTGGGGTCTCCGCGAGGTTGCTGTGTTTCCACTTGGCCAGCCAGGGCTGTGTGGGCAGCAAGGGCGAGTGGCTGCCTCGACTTGGACCGCTCTGAATTCGGTGTTCCGAAACCTCTGGCCGGGAGTCCGGTAGCCTTCTACAGGAGGGAGCTGCCGGTGTAGGCGGTCGTCCGCGTCAGGGTCAAAGCTCCCTTCTTCCCTAACAGTGAAACTTGAGACTCTGAGCGTTAATTTTGGGGGACAGTTAGCTGCATTGACCTTGTTGTTGCTGATATATTATTGGCCGAGTATGTCTTTAGTGAAACTGTGACTATTCTTAAGGGGAAAGCCAAATCCAAGCTTGTCAGAGAACGCGACCTCCTTTTGGATCTGGGGAAATAATTAGTACCTTTGGAAGAGATAAATGAAGGGCACAGCTTTCACACAGTAGTGTGGAGGAAATGGGGTGGTGACTGATGTTTCCTGGGTGCCTGCAGCAGCCCAAGGAGGCCAAATGACAGGTGTGGGTCTGCCAGGGAAGCCTGCTGGTGGGTGACACACAGCCCTTTTACACAGGTCTACAGAGTTGGATTCCAACTGGAGCTGGTTCCAGCTGAGGTGTATGCAGGTCGGCGGGAATGCCAATGCGGTAAAGACACTTCTACCTTCTCCCACCCCTCTTTCTTCTGCCTGGCTGCTAACTTTGCTTGACTTCCTGAGAGGCCTCCTCAGGTTCTCTGTTGAGAGGGTTCTCTGGTCTGAAACACCACCATACATTATCTTCTAAGCTTGGAAATTGTCATAGCTTCTCTCAAAGCGGCTTCAAATTCAAATTAAACTGGACAGATGTTCTTGGGGAAAAGCTAAGGGAGTTGGGGCCTCCACAGTCATTGAGTGTTGTGTGCCTGCCTGGATGAAGGATGGAGAGAGCAAGATGGCATGCCGTCCTTAGGCAGGGTTGACTGGGCTTCAGTCACTCATCTCAGGATGGGAGGTTGCAAGGTATTTTTTGCCGGAATTTCTGAGGAACTTTACCTCTGTGAAAAACTGCCGGTGTCATTAGAGTATATCATCCTGTGTAAGTAATAGCCAGCTGTTACAAGGGAGTACCTCCTATAGCCAGTATATTTTTGCTCTGGGGAGAATCACCCATAGTACGTTCTCTCTTCTTTGATCTCCAGACTGCTTTTTTCCGTCAACATGGATGCACGGCCAGTGATGCCAACACCAAATATAACAGCCGAGCCGCCCAGATGTACCGGGAGAAGATCGCAGCTGGGGGCGAGCTGTCTAGGATGGCACCCAGATGTAACGTGCCCGTTCCTGGGCTGGGCAGAAGGGTGGATGGGAAGTGTTTAGAGTCCTGCATTTCGGGTGTCTTCTCCTCTTCAGCTTTGGATAGACAATATGAGTAGTGCTCCTAGTCACCTCCGGAGAAGAAGGACTCTGATTTCTTCACAGAACATACTCAAGTGAGTTCCCACAAGGAATGTTTTCCCTGTTTTGTTCTTGACAAGTGGTTTATTTACCAGGCTAGGCCTTCCGTTGTTTACCACATAAATTCATTTGCCTTGGTGTATATCTGTGATAGAGATATGTCTGGGGCCCACTGAGTTTTGGTGACTGCTGCTTGCTGGACAGGCCAGGGGTTCTTCTCTCATGAATGGGGATCACAATTTGACCCTCCTTAAAAACAGACCTTTTTAAGCTGGGATGGTGGGAAAAAGGGAAAGTTAACGATATGTCAAGGGCCCCCAAAAACTTTTCCTATATTGCTTTCCTGTATGAACAACTCTGTTGCTTGGGAATAGTGAAAAGATTCCTTCCGAGAGAACCCACCTTGTGAGGAGAGCTTGTCCTATCCTCTACTGGACTAGGTCTAATGTGACTCCCTTATGAATCCTTGCTCTCTCTACTTAGCTTTTGTGATGGTGACATTCCTTAATGTCAACACTCGTTCTAAAGAGATGGTATCTGAGCCTCATAGGGGCTTGTTGTGATAATTATAATGGTTTTTGTATATAAGGAACCTTAAACTTGTGCTGGTGACAATGGTAGAGGTTCCAATAGTTGTTTTTAAACACTCGTAGAGTGTTCACTATATTGACAGCCAAGTGAAGCCTAGCAATGTCAATATAGTGCAGACAGATTGAGTGCTAGCCGGTGTCAATCTTAGTGACAGCCACAGATGAACGTGCATGCCATGTCAACTATATGTGGACAGCCACAGATGACCTAGCGTCAACTTGCGACGCGTGGTATGAAGGTGCAAGCGACGCGTCGACTTTGAGCCGCACCTTGATATGACTTTTTAATTTTCCTTTATCAAAAATATCAATTGTGACATTTAAAGAATAAAGTATTAGAACTATCTATGTTTACTATTCTGATTTACATTAGAAGTAAGCTGCTGTAAAGAGTAAAAAAGCTTCAGTTGTTTAAGTTTTCCTCTCATAAGAAGCAAAACGGATTTGTCGTCAATGCAAAGCACAGAACTATATGTTAGATTGAATGGGCTGTGGGCAAGGTTTCGTGGCTTCGGTGCGCGTGTACCGAAGTGGTTAATAAAATGGTCTGGCTCTAGTAAAACGGTGAGGAGTTTTTTGCTTGTATCTGCTTCTTTTCCTTTAGTAACAGTTATAATTTTCTTGCTAATTCCAGTTCCTTTCCTTTGTGGGGCTTGAGTAAGACCTTGTACTCCGGCTTTTGTAGTTTCTTGGTGCTTCCTTTCCAGCAGGTGGTCACCAAGGTTCTGTGGTCTGGCTCCTTTTCAGCCCCTGCCTGGGATGTTCGCAAACTGAGCTTCAGGATGCGACGCCGCCCGTCTGCGGAGCAGTGTTGGCATAGTGAGCCAGATTCCACCAGGTTTTTCTGATCGTAGGAAGGCTTGGGGTGGAAGGGACCTGCCCGGGAAATGGAGCGGTTCTTCTATGTCTTTGGATGTTGGGTTCATTTTAGTCTCTTTTTCCTCTGTGCAAGCGGAGGAAGCCAGTGATCTTCTCTTAATGGAGGGTTTCAGGAGCTGGGGCTTCGCTACTCTTACTGTTGAGCCACAGAGCGGAGCATTGCCGAAACAGACCTGCCTGGACTCACCAAGCACTCTGGTCAGTATGACATGGTGGGGTGTGGTGGCTGGGAAAGTGCCTCTAAGTGTTCTTTTCGATCTGCTGTGTGGTCATGGTGCTGAGCTATAGTGACTGAACTTTCCTCCCTCTGTGTTGGGATGTGGATTGAAATCATGGTGCAAATTGATTTTAGAGCAGACCTTTGATTGCTGATGATTCTGATTGGTTGTGTATAAGGTAGGGTCTGTCTCTAAGTGTGGCGCTGGGTCTAAGCCAAAGTATGGGGAAGGACCAAGTATGGATTAGACCCTATCCTGGGGCTGAGCAGGCTGTCTGAGGTCCATTTCCGGGTGGGGGACAAGTCTGAACTGTATGGCTGGGATGACTTGTTTTTCTCAGCAGTCCCCAGTCCTGTCTTTAACTTTTCTAACTCTTTCTTATGTCTTCAGACTGGCCTTGCAGTCTTCATTTTGGTTCGGGACTTTGACTGGTCTCTTGTGCTCAGTTAGTCTTCTACTCTGCGAAATCATACCCCCCTATTGTTGTCTTTGGCTTGGATGCCATTGGTTGGAATGGTGGTAGCAGCTTTGCCTTTCCCTGCTGATCAGTTTCTTTTGTGAACGCTTTGTCATGAGGCTCATGGGGGACGAGTTGCTGCCTATTACTCTTTGTTCAGCATGCCAACATCTTTCTCACACAAACGAAAAGCCCCTCCATCATTGCAGAAGAAGCGCAGCAGCCTAAGAAAGGGTAGTGGGAGAGGCATATGTAGAAATGTTAGGAGCTTGGAGTCTATGGCTGCCTGGGTTTACTCCTTGACTTGCCTTACTGCTGATATGACTTTGGCAAGTAACTTCATGTATCGAAACCTTATCTATGAAAGGGGATTTTCAGGATGGCTATTTTCAGCTTTCCTGGAGGAGTCGTGAAATGGGCTATTTAGTTCAGAAAAGGTGCTTCTGGCACATACCAAACGCTGTAGGCATAACTGCTGTCCTCTATACAGCTGAGGTCTGCTGGGGTGTATGAGCTCCTATGCGTGTCCAGCAGACAGACCACTGTTCTTTCTTGGCCTAGCTGGCTGGCGTATTTTTTTTTTTTTGACCTAAACACTTAGGAAAACCTTTCTTTTGGTGTGGCTAGAGGTGCAGCGGTGGAGGGATCAGAGGAGATTGGGTTGCAGGCTCATATCACATGATTCTCGTTCCAGCTGGTGCAGAAGGGCCTAGGGGCTCAAAGGTAAGAGCAGAGCTTCAGTGAGATTGAGCGGAGCAGGGAACAAGGTGGCAGAGAAGCTCCGTGGGGGCAGCAGCAGCTGATGTAAGAAGCAGGCTGAAGAGTCCATCGTAATGTGTTGCTGCAGGGCCTCTGAACATGTGTGGGGGGTTGGTGGGGGGGGTCTAAAATGAGGTGCTAGCCTCTGTGCATATTTGTTCCTCAAGGGTTTTGCTCCCCCATCGCCCTGTACAGGAGCTCAGATTGACTCGTCAGAAAGAGGAGAAGGAAGCTAGAACCTGGAGGAAGAAGCGAGAGCAGGCGAAAGGTTGGCAATGGGCTTAGGTCTCAGCTGAGGTGGAGGCTCGCTCTGGATTGTGGTGGGGAAATGGCATTGTTCCTGAGACCATGGGTCTGCAGCTTTTGGATTTTAGGGTAGTCTTTTCATGCTGAAAGATCACTTTGTTATTGTCTTAAAGCACTAGTATAAGCCATCAGCTTGCCATAGTAGGTATGTGTGTAGTAAGGTATTTGTTTGAGTTAATAAGACATAGGATCAGGTGCTGTTTCAGTATATCTCGATATAAAGGTGTGTTTTTCTTTGGACAGAGTCTCACTTTGTTCCTGGCTAGAGTGCATGGCGTCAGCCTAGCTCACAGCAACCTCAAACTCCTGGGCCGAGCAACTCCTTCTGCTCAGCCTCCTGAGTAGGCTGGGACTCCTAAGCTGACACATGCTGGCTAATTTTTCTATATAGTTTTTACTGTTCATTACTTCTTGTCTATTGTGAGGACAGGGTCTTGCTCTTGCGCCAGGTGGTCTTGACTCCCCTCACTCAACATCCCAGTCCGGCCTCTCCAACATGATAGGCATTAAGTGTGGCCACTGTGCCGGCCAAGGGGTCTTAATGTCTTTGAGTGGTGTCTTTCAAGACTGCCCTGAGAAATTGCAGGGGCTTTTGCACCTCAGTCCTTAACAGTTTAAAGTTAGTTATCTACTAATACTAATAATACCCAAAATGCCTCCTACCTCCATTTCAAAATGGCCTTGAGTTGGGCAGAATCCTTATTGTCAGAAAACTGGGTTTATGGTAGTGGTTTTCAACACAATAATAAGTGAAAACGCCGCAAACTCTCGAATAACTTTTGTCTGAACTAACACTATGGTAGATAGTAACTAATAGTTAGCTAATGATTTTCTTGGCCTGTCCCCGGCGGAGTGAGTGGTGTACATAAATTAGTCTCCCTGCGTGTAAAGTCCTGGGCTTTAAAGATCTCTGCTTACTCCTGATAGTAGGATTAGTGGTGTGAACCACTGTTGCCTGGCTGTATGGTAGATAATTTTTTTTTTTTTTAACGAGCCTCGTTTGTTGGCCCACGTGCTAGAGGGGTTGCCGTGGCGTCAGCCTACTCAAGCATACGCTCACTCACTGGGCTCAAGCATCTGGTGCCTCGCCCCGAGACGGACTACATATGCAGCACCATGCCAGCTATTTTTTCTCCTATATCTTAAGTTGGCCATATATTTCCTTTCTATTAATAGTTAGAGACGGGGTCCTCCAATCTTTGTCAAGGCAGACCAGGCGGTTTCGAACCCTGACCTCAGTATCTGCACACCTCGGCTTCCAGCATGCTAGATACAGCTAGAGCCACTGGCCGGCCTAGATTTTTGTTTCTAATTTCAAAAAATATTGAATACCTGGCGGGCGTGTGTGCTATGCCTTGACTAGCACCTTGCAAGGCCATGGTGGAGCTTACTTAAGCTAGGAGTTCAGACCAGGTGAGGCAAGGTGAAACGCTTGTTCCCTGACACAAATAGAAAAATTGTGTGGCATGTGGCATTGTCTTATTCCAGTATTTGAGAGGCTAAGGCAGCAGGGATTATGGGTGTGCCAATGATCCCATTGGGACTTATGCTGCTCTGCTTTTATACCTGTTTCCACTCGGTGCTGTCTGAGATGCAGGTGTTGCGCAGGAACCAGTGAGTGAAAATCCTCCTCGCTCGCAAAGCTGACTTGTTTGATGGATGTTGGCTAACTTTCGCCTCCCCTGGACCCAAGAAGGTATGGTTGGGGGTCAACTCAGTTCAATGTCCTCATCAGGCTTTCTCTGAGCCATCTAACTGCTTCTAGTACAGGACCCCCTTTTTCCTTGGGGAAGAGTTTTGGTTCCGTTGGATACAGATGCTGCCTGGGGGTATGGACAGGGTAGAGGAGAAGGAGCCAGAAGTACCATCTCAGCATCCGCCTATTTCAGAAAGGTAGAAGTGGTCTAGGGCAGCATGTTAGTAGAACTCTTGTGATTATAGGTCTTCTGTTCTGGTGCTCTTGAATATGTAGCACTAAGTTGTGGCCCATTGGCTTTGTAGCCCATAAAAAATGTGGCTAAGTAACAACTGAGAGAATTCTAATGTAACTTGATATAATTTTAATAAAGCTAGCCGATGTGCCAGATGGCTTATCCATTATATAGGGATTCAGGCTTTGTTTGAGCGTGCTTGTCATCACAGGTCATGGCAGCCTCGTTTTGCTGGAGCCATTTCTCTGCAGGAAGCCCTGATTTATGCTCAGCTCGTAACCCCCACCAATGGGTTATGTCTCCTGGCCTCTATCCTACTCATTTTTTTAAAATAACATTTCTATCTTATCTGAGCAAGTTTAAGGTTTTAATGGAAATTGATCTGTAACATCATCGTCCTGAAAAATGACTAAATAGACTATTTACAGGGTGGCTGGAAGATTAAATGTAAATTGACAAGTGGAAACCGTAGTATTACGGTGTCTGTGGCCTCATTAGTGACGATTAGCCCCACCTATAGTGCAGCAGCCCTGTGTCCCTCAGTCACAAATCTGCCTATTCATACAGTTCATGGTTTGGAACCAATTAATGTCTCGCATCCTCAGCTTTGCCTCTGGGGATTTTATAACACCCTTCGCACTTTTAAGATCAAGGTGCGGGGTTTGGGTTATTACTAGTTAGTGACAAAAAGAGTAGTGTAAAAACAAGGCAAACTGAGACATAGCACCCTGATTTCTAGGCAAGTTGTGATGGAGTGGGCAGCAATAGTGAGATAGTGTGCCTCCGTCGGCCTTGATAAGCTGCTAGTGGTAGGAGAAGCGGTAGCTCCTCCAGACCTATTGTTCCATCTTGCCTGTCTGGTGTGTACTTTAGCTCTGTGCTCTTGTCAGTGTGGGAAACAGACCTCATATGACTCCCTTTGGAGACCCCTTCTCACCGGGAAGAGGGTCCCTGATCCCAGAGCCACAGACGAATGGGCGGGCTGGAAACTACATCTCCAAAAGGCCAGTGTGTCTTTTTTGGTCCTCTGTACCTGTCCCTGAGTAATGGGAGGGGTGAGATGTTCATGTTGGCCCTTCAGAGCCACAACCGGAGGGAAATGGAAGGGACTCCCAGGCCTCGAGTCAGTGAGGCAGCGCAAGAAATTTGCAGAGAGCCAAAGCCATCTCCTCTACATGTTCTTTTGGCGGGAGGTGGATGTGAGGTAAGTGAATTGTCTACCTTTCGAGGCTGGAGGCACAGGTAGGAAGTGAAGTTTTCTCCCTGCCACCATATTGGGCTTTGCCCAGGGTGGCTTGGCCTCTGTGAGTCCTTGTTATTGGCAGTACCCAGCATTGTCTCTTTCCTCACCACAAGTATTGAAGCAGGGTCCTCGGCTACACAGCCCAGCAGCACGCCATCATGCTCTCTCAGACGGCCTCTTATGGGACATGGAGGGTCATCGGACCATGTAGGGCCCAGTGGTGGAGAACCACAATGCTGTGAACAGAGTGGGAGGCCCGCCTGCCGCGCCACCTCTGCGGTCCTTCTTCGCTTCTCGCAATCGTCCTCCCCTCTCGCGGCCTGCTGCTCCGCCGCCTCGCCCTCTTCCCGCGGCCCTCGACCGCGTGGCTGGCCCCAGGCTCGTGCTCGGCCACCCACCCACCCTCGTCGCTCCCCGATCCACCTGCCTGACCCGGCGCCCCGGCCGCCCTCGCGCCCCTTCCTTCCGGGGCCGCCGCCCCTCACACACCCCGACCCCGTCAGCTGACTCTCCGCCCGCGGGCCTCTCTTCACCCCATCCTTACCCCCCTAGCCTCGCCTCTGGGCGCACCCTACCCCTCCTCAGAGCATTTTCTTTCTCTCTCGCGCTTCCCTCCTCCCCTCAGTCCTCTGTACCGACTCGGCCTCTCTCTAAGTAGATGCCATGTTGCACTGATTTTCCTCTGTTCTTCCTCGCAGTTTCTTCCTCTCTCCCTGCCCAGTTTCTGTGAGATCTGGTAGTGCTTCCTCCTCAGTTGGGCCTAAGTGCCAACTGCCCCAAGCTCTCCTGTGTACTTCCACCTGCAGTGGTGCCAGCCCCTATGGTCGATCCCGTCTTGCTGTGGGGTTGTGGGGCACGAGCAGTGGAATGCAGGGAGTCTGCTGCGTTAGGGACTCTGACTTCATTTTTTCTCTCCCCATCCCCAGGATCGCTACGGTTCCTACTGATGCAAGCTCCATGGCTCAGGTGTATGGTGGTGACAGCAGCCAGAGCCCATGATTCCCAGGCCAGGGATGCTTGCCTTGTGGAAGCCGGGGAGGATTTGTTACTTTGTGTGGTGTGTGAGTGGGGTGGCCTTAGAGGATCTTGGGTGAGGGAAATGGTCAGTACCAGCCCTTGTCCTCTGCCTATGGATTAAGCCCTTTGTTTTCTTACCCTCACACCCCCTCCTCTGTGTGCTAGATTATTGTCCTTCTAATTCTGCCCCCAAAGCTGCTGCTCACTTGTCCTGCCACACTGGGAGTGAGTTCTCTTGGGATGGCTTATTCTAGGTCCAGTCCTTCCCCAAGTAGGGAAGGTGAAAAGTGTATAGTGTGTTTGTGGGCTCTAGGATCCTTCCAGGTAGTCTGAGGGCTTGGGCCTCTGACCTCTGGACCAGGGGGAGGCCTAGAAAGAGTGCTACTGTAGACCAGTCCCCCAGGGGAGAGAGGCTCTGGACTTGCTGCTGCTAGGGGCCTCTTGGTACCAGGAGAGGGGAGGGGAGGGGAAGGATCTTCATCTGGGCCTTACCAAGGGCTAGAAACTTTTCCTGGTACCTAAAGGTTTCATTTAGGATCAGACTGAAGGCCCGAGTGATCCCTGTGTCACCACCCCTTTTTCAGTAATCCCACTGGAGGGTTACTTCTCCTAGGTGTCTCAGAGTCCTTCCATACCATGTGCTGTGGACTTCTGTCCCCTCCTGAGACTTTCCCCTGTTCCCCTGGTCGGTAGCCATGGTGGATCTCCTCTGCCGTGTCCTGACTCGATGCTGTGAGTGTAATACTGGCCAAGGAAGCAGAGGACATGAGGGATAGAAGCAGGCTCCTGGGGCTCAGCTTTTTTCCTCGGCTTAGGGGGACCTGGACAGCACCCCACCAGCGAGAGCTTGAGGGCCTACAAAGCTGCAGGCCTCACCCTCTGGCAGCTGGGCCATGCACTGTGTCATTCTTGGTGCCATCTTCCCCTGCCATGCTGGCAGTCTGGGCCCAACCTCTACCTTTGGGTTGTAGGTTGGACTCCCCAGCAACACAGACCACTCTTCCCCTCCCCCTCCCCCAGAGGGATGTGACTTTCTTTCTGGACTGTTTGTATTGAAACAAAGTGGTGTCAAAATAAAGCCCCCACGGGGCCCTGGGTCCCCGTTGGTATCAATGAAGTAGTGTCCTCTCTGGATCCTGCCTCCCTGTCCAGTGTGGGCCCCTCGCCTCACTCTCTGGGCTCCCACCGATATGGGTAGAGTGTTGGTACCGAAGCTGAGGGCACTCTCTCCAGGGCCTCCGGCTTGTCTCTTCTCTGAAAGCCAAAGGCCCCTGGCTCCTTGGCCCTGTGCTGCCGCGAGGTCCGGTGCAGCCTCGACCTCACCACCCTGTTGCACGCGGAGGAAAGAGCTGGTATTAGTTGGCCCTTCAACTCATCTGGCTGAGGACAGGCGAGCAAGCTTAGCAGCCCTGCCCCTGTTCACAACGGTAACTTGACTGGGTACGTTTCTCAGTGGAGTTAAAAAAATTTTTTTTAAATATTGACTTTAATGGAACCCTTTTAAATTCAGGAAAAAGGACGTGTGTGTATGTATGTATGTGTATTAACCCCTAGCTGGGCCATCCTTTTCCCTTAAGGGGGTTTCTGAAAGATCTCTGTGCCACATTCTGAGTCCTCAGGGTACAGTTATAAGTCACTGTTCTGGGAAGTGGATGATTAGGAAGGATGGATAGAAGGAGCCATGGGCTCTAAGCCAGTGATTTCCAAGGTGTAGGTCTGGGACTTCAGCTTTGGAATCATCTGGAGTGTTCATTAAAAATACAGATTTCTGGACTCCATTCTAAACTGGTAGAATTAGACTCTGGAGCTTGGTAATTTGCATTGTCAAACAAGCTTCCCTATGATTCTGGTGCATTTGAGAACTGTTCTCATCGGCTGGAGGCTGGAGAGATTGTGGACCTGGAGCTGCTTTAGGACTGGAATGCCCAGTCCTGGTCTAGGCTCTGCAAGGCTTTGGGAGCCAGTTCCTGTAATTATCCAGTGGGGCTGGTCTGGGTGGGGATGAGTCCAGGAAAATGTATGTGCCCAGTTGTGGTGACACCCAGCTTTACAGGAGGCATCTTGTTCTGCTTGGGCCCACTGAGTGGGATTTACTTTGTGGAGGTTTCCCCCACCCCACCCCAGTTCAAGAAAGTTGAAGACCACTTGGCCTAACCTTCCTCTGGTTGTGGCTGGAAGCTTGTACACCTCAGGCCTGTGCCTTGTTCACAGCTGCATCCCCACTGCCCTAACCCCATGCAGGTGCTTGGCAAGTGTTTAAGGAAACCCTGGCTTTAGAAGGCTGTGCTAACCCTTGTGGCCAGGGTCTTTAAAGTTATGGGAACCTGGCCTTGAACCCTCTGAGCTTGTTTCCTGAAGGCCTGTTCCAGCTGTGAGCACCCTGAAAGTCTGATCTTGGGTGCAGGAGCTAAGCCATTCTCATCATGTGAGGTAGGTCTCCAGGCTTGAGTGGGCCATTGGCCCCCACATCCTGATCCTGCCAGATAGGCACCCAAACCCCAAACACACCCCTTTCCCTCCATCCCCTCAGCCTAGTGGCTTTAGACTCACCACTTACCAGACACAAGGGACTTTATTCATTTCACATATTTAACTCTTAGACACAGAGGAAACTTGAAGCAGGTTTTGAAAGTGAAAGTGTCTTCTTACCCACCCTTCTCCGTCCTATCATGGCTAGTGGCTGTCCTCCAGCAGAAGGCCACAGTGGTTATGTCCTCCCAGTACTTGCATCTCAGGTGTCACCCTTGACCATGCAAGGCCCTGCATGGCTATTCATGTTCTCCCCCTTAATGGAGTTGCTGTGAAATGAACCTTATCAGGGGACTAGCAGAGGTTGGCTGAGAAGATACTGCTCTTCCTCAAGAGGTTAGGACTGTTAACAAAAGACTAAGGCCAAGTCCTCTTCCTAGTGATGAAATGGCCTCAGCACAGTCTGTCAGCCTGGGGCCTGACTAGCACCCAGAGGCTGACAGGGCCAGGGAGAGCAGGCTGTTAACTTTCTAGGGTCACTGTTTGGCTTGGCTGATCTAGCACCTCTCTGGCAGGTCTTTGGCCTGGGGCTGTTATTCAGCCTTTTCGCCAGCAGAGGGCAGCATGGCAGGGCGCTGGAGAGGAGGCTGGGTGGGAGCACCAAGGGCTGGCGTGGGAGCAGGGTACAGGGCGCTGTAGGCAGGACCCTTCAGACTCCTCAAGTCTCAGACTCGTCTGTCTCTTCAGTGGAGCCATCGCTCTCTGCATCCACTTTTCGGGAGTGATGGAGGGGCCTCCAAGGGGAGCCAACCCGGGGAGGGGTCCGGGAAGGCAGGCAGCTGGCCTCTGGACTGGCAGTGACCGAGTTGATCAAGCCTGGGACCTGGACCAGCCTGAAGGAGGGAGGAAGAAGCCCAGAGGGCAGTGAGGTGCCTCCTGGTCGGAGACCAGGACCTCCATGCTCACTCTTGCACTTGGGTGAACCCATGGTCTATAGACCCAAAGAACTCAAAGAGGACACCTCAGGCCTCTGCTGGCCCCCATACCCTTCCCTGACCAATTTGGGGTGTTACAGGCAAGTAATGCGGACCAATGAGGGGGCACGGCCATGTCCCACTGTGGTTTGGGCCCCACAAGGGGGCAGCATCGTCCCACTTGACACTTACAGCCGTTCCAGTTCCTCATCCATGGCTGGGTCATGCATCAGATCCCCTTTGTCAGGCAAAGCTCCTAGGAGATAAATGGGGACACAAAACTTAATCTGAGGGTCTTTCAGCCAGGTAGCAGATGCCTCTACACCCTTCACCTTCATGTATGCCTGTTCTGCTGACCATGGGAGGGCTGATCCGAAAGATCTGAAGACTGCTATAGGGAAAAAAAAAACAGTCATGGAACAGAGACCACAGCTAAGGAGACATCCCCAAACAAATGGGGCGATTCTCCTTCAAGACTAGGTGGTGAGTGTGACCTGGTGCTGGGGTCGAGTTCTTCCTTGAGGCCCTAGGTACTGAACTGAAAAGGATATGGCCTAGGCTAATCCTAAAGGTTGGAAATTATCTAATTTTGTGCCCCCAAGTCAGAGTGTCCTACTTTGGAGAAAGATGGTAAAAAAATGCTGCTTCTATTACTGGAAACACAGTGTTACAAAAAAAAAAAAAAAAAAAAAAAAAGGAGACTGGGTTACCCGCCTCCCAGCGTGGATTGGCCCGCGCAGGACCCGTCGGTCGCAGTTGTGTCTGGGAAGGAGAGAAAATGGCGGCGGAGCCAGCAAGACCGAAATCCAGACTCTTTTAAGAGCTTCGGCAATTCACCCAACAGGTACATGAGCATCGGGCGCGCGGACCCTGGCGCCGGCCGAGATTGAACTCTAGCTCCCCCGGGCCTGAGGGAGGGAGAAGGGCGGAGGTGGGTCGTTTCCCCGGGTGTCAGCGCCCGGCCTCTATTCAGGGCCCGTGACCATTCGCTCCGCGCCTCCTTCCACCCAGGCTGTTTCGACTGCGGCGCCAAGAATCCGAGTTGGGCCAGCATCACGTATGGTGTTTCTTTGTGCATTGACTGCTCTGGGGTGCACCGCTCCCTGGGCGTCATCTCAGCTTCATCAGGTGGGGTCTCCGCGAGGTTGCTGTGTTCCACTTGGCCAGCCAGGGCTGTTGGGCAGCAAGGGCGAGTGGCTGCTCGACTTGGACCGCTCTGAATTCGGTGTTCCGAAACCTCTGCCGGGAGTCGGTAGCTCTACGGGAGGAGCTGCCGGTGTGGGCCTCTCGCCACATAGGCGGTCGTCCGCGTCAGGGTCAAAGCTCCCTTCTTCCCTAACAGTGAAACTTGAGACTCTGAGCGTTAATTTGGGGGACAGTTAGCTGCATTGACCTTGTTGTTGCTGATATATTATTGGCCGAGTATGTCTTTAGTGAAACTGTGACTATCTTAAGGGGAAAGCCAAATCCAAGCTTGTCAGAGAACGCGACCTCCCTTTTGGATCTGGGGAAATAATTAGTACCTTTGGAAGAGATAAATGAAGGGCACAGCTTTCACACAGTAGTGTGGAGGAAATGGGGTGGTGACTGATGTTTCCTGGGTGCCTTGCAGCAGCCAAGGAGGCCAAATGACAGGTGTGGTCTGCCAGGGAAGCCTGCTGGTGGGTGAACACAGCCCTTTTACACAGGTCTACAGAGTTGGATTCCAACTGGAGCTGGTTCCAGCTGAGGTGTATGCAGGTCGGCGGAATGCCAATGCGGTAAAGACACTTCTAACCTTCTCCCACCCCTCTTTCTTCTGCCTGGCTGCTAACTGCTTGACTTCCTGAGAGGCCTCCTCAGGTTCTCTGTTGAGAGGGTTCTCTGGTCTGAAACCCACCATACATTATCTTCTAAGCTTGGAAATTGTCATAGCTTCTCTCAAGAGGCTTCAAATTCAATTAAATGGACAGATGTTCTTGGGGAAAAGCTAAGGGAGTTGGGGCCTCCACAGTCATTGAGTGTTGTGTGCCTGCCTGGATGAAGGATGGAGAGAGCAAGATGGCATGCCGTCCTTAGGCAGGGTTGACTGGCTTCAGTCAGTCATCTCAGGATGGGAGGTTGCAAGGTATTTTTTGCCCGGAATTTCTGAGGAACTTTACCTCTGTGAAAAACTGCCGGTGTCATTAGAGTATTCATCCTGTGTAAGTAATAGCCAGCTGTTACAAGGGAGTACCTCCTATAGCCAGTATATTTTTGCTCTGGGGAGAATCACCCATAGTACGTTCTCTCTTCTTTGATCTCCAGACTGCTTTTTTCCGTCAACATGGATGCACGGCCAGTGATGCCAACACCAAATATAACAGCCGAGCC